CCCCAAAACCCCAAAACCCCAAAACCCCAAAACCCCAAAACCCCAAAACCCCAAAACCCCAAACTTTTATAAAAGCATTGATTTCCCTCACCACAAAAATATGGAAGACAGTCATCGCCTAAAACGAGAGTCTGAATTCTGGTCTGAGCCTGACATCTCCAAGCTCAGGCGGAAGAGGGGCGACTTTATGGTCTCTCTCAGGAAGAAGAAGAGGAACCAGCTTTTTATGCTGAAAAGGAGAGGGAGAATGGGGAGATTAGGAGGAAGCACTGGGCAAGGTAAGGAGCAGATTTAGTGGGTGGGGATAGTGGGGAAAAGGGGTGAGGAAAAGGGGGAGGAAGACATTTTTAGAGGGAGTTGGGGAGATGTGGGGTGAGAAGGGGGAGATGGGGTTTTAGGAGGGTTAAGGGATGGAAAGAGGTGGAATTGGTGAGATAGGGAGAAGATAGAGGAGTTTATTAGTATGGGTAGATATTATAGAGTTTAAAGATAAGTTTTTATGCGATGAAAAAGATGAGTTAAGGAATATACAAAATTTAAACAACAACACATAAATTCCATTTTATAATGCCTTATGCCTCAAAATCACAAAAATGATTCCAAATATATCAAAAAATATCTCCTTCATCCCAAAATCTAATTCTCCAACTCCTCGAGCTAGCCTTTCTCAGATCCCACTGGCTTAATCCCCCCAAAACTCCAGCTACCTCCGATCTCAAGCCCCTATTTTACTTAAACTTAGCCAAAGACAAAACTTTAAAGAAACCCCTTTAGAAATTTTAGAGAAAGAACTCAACGATGAAAAAAAAGTTTAAAAAAACAGAGGAACAAATTATGAAGGACATGCAGTTCATAGGTATCCAGGAAGAACACAGTAGCGAAGAGAAGTTCGAACATATAGTAGAATGCTTCATGAGTAGTCCCTGTGAGGACAAAGTAGCAGTATGAATCAGGATCCTTTGAATGTTCTCATTTATTAATAAACAACTCCATTCAAAATCTGATACAGAAGAGTACAGTGATAAGATATTGATCAAGTTGTTACCAAAATTCACTGAAATTTTGGAGTTCTCACCTGCGTATTTGAAGTATGATACTTTGACATTGCTGAGTTACTGAACTGGGCGAAGAGAATCAGAGTTTCCAATAATGTTCCACACCCTATTATCTAAAGGGGATTTCCTTCAAAGCCTGATTGGCCTATTGCGAAGTGAGCTTGACTTAATTAATGTGAAGATGATTCAGAGAGTCCTGCGGATAATCACTAACTTAGCCACGGATAAGGACATTATCAATTTACTATTATCGCTTGATATACTCGAAGAATTACCAATACCAACAGAAGAGATGTCTCTCATCACAGAAGTAAGGAAAGAAATTGCTAAGTCTAATATTGAGATCATGGAATTAGTGACAAATAATCTTGATAAAAAGCACATTCCACAAGTAATAAAAACCTTTCCTGATATTTTGAAATCGGTTGGTCGTGAATTTGGTGAAGAGAATGATAAAATACCTAACTCAGACTTTGAAGTAGAGATGCGCTTAATAGTTGCTAAGATTGTCAATCGAGTCACCAGCCTTTGAGATACTTTTATTGACCTCATTTTTCACCATTTCACTAATGTAGAGGAGACAGTTATTAGCTGGATGGAGGATGAAGTCGGATGAATAGCCTTCCAAGGTATCAGTGTTGCAGGAAACTTAAGTGCGTATCAAGGTGAAATCAAGGATCTTGGGTTGAGATTGGTTACCAATGGACTTCTAAATTCTATCAGTAGATTTTTCAGATCTGATAAACTAGAAAAGCAATATGAATCGTATTTTACTCTAAGTAATGTTATATGAGAGTCTTTTGAAGCTGCGAAAAGTGTTATAAACAATCAAGAAATACTGGATATGCTCCTAGAGCTTTTAGGAACAGTTTCTAATGAGGTGGCCTTAAAAGAGTTGACCTCTCTAATATGAAATATTCTCAAAAATATCTGTGAAAACAAGTATGAATGGCATAAAAGTAGGGAGCTTGCATATTTCACTCATATTTATTAATCTATTTTAGATTATATCTTTGCAATCTTGTTTGATACTTAAATATTGTCTTTGACATCTAAAATTTGGTAAACTTTCACTGCATTTTTTGACTCATTCTTAAATTATTGAGATAGGACTTTGATAACTTATCAGGCTTACTCTCAACAAATTTGTATAGTTTTATCTTCAAGCAATTCTTTTCTAAACAAAACTTATTTGTAGTATCTCTCTATGTTTTAAAATGACTAATTTGCTTTATTGTCAAGAATGTATTCGGTACTTGTATGAAAACAACCTGATAGGAAAATATAAGTAACTCATTTGTTCATAATTTAGAGAAATTCTGGAGATTCCAGGCTTATCCCTGAGATGCAAATGAATGACCCTATACGGCCTTAAACTTCTCTTTGACCTCAAGAAGAACATGAATCAAGAGTATAATTTTTATGCCAAGGCTTTCATCGAGATTCAAGGAAATGAGTAAGGAAGATATAAAGTGTTCGAATATGAATTTTCACACAGAAATTGCCAGAAATGTTTCTAAATTTTAATCTTCCACTCAAGGATTTCCCTCCGTTAGTTTATATTTCCTCTCGAAATTTAGAATTAGGCCTGAACTCTTACTTTAGACTGCTTGAGGACCTCTATAATGAAGAAAAGAATGAAGGCATAAAGATCCTTATGAAGGTGATCATTGAGGACTATTTTATTAAATCTTGTTTAGAATCAGACTAAAATATTTCAACTATAAATTTCAATATTTGCTCTAAACTTAGGGGTTTTGGGGTTTTGGGGTTTTGGGGTTTTGGGG